CAAATGGAAGAGTGTGGTATGTCTAATTTCTTAGTTATAAGTAATTTATTTTTAAAATATCAAAAGATCTTATCCCCTACACTTAACTCTACTTTCACATTCTGGTGGAAGACCTCCCTAAAACCACATGTTAATGTGGATCCATCTGTAATATTTTTTACTTTGTTTCTTAGTGACAGGAACCAGGAATTTTTTGAGCCACAGAGTAAGTTTTCAAAGTATAAGCACTGTCTCTGATAACCAATCCTTGACCAGCTCTGATCTTGTTTCGCAATAGGATGGCCTGCATATAATTTGGGTCATTCTACCCTTTGTAGATCAAGATGTTCTATATATCATGCCTATAAAGACTGAACTTTTGGCTGTTCCCTAATGAAAAAAATGAAGATAAGTGGTTATTATTTAGAGTGTATAACTCTATTGGTAGCACCTGGTACTACAGTGTCATTCTGCTGAAGATCTCAAGACTTGGCTTGGATCCCTGGAGGACCACATCCTTAGGTTGATTCTATTTCTTTGCTTGAAAAAGTGACTTATATTCAAAAGAAATTAAAATGTCAGAATCCAAAAAAAAAAAAAAAAAAAGATCCAAACCTAATAACAGGCATCAGGGCTTGGGCATCAGAGCTTGGTGTGGTGAAGCACTTCTCTAATCCCATCGGCTCAGGAGGCTGATACAGAAGGATGGCAAGTTCAAAGCCAGCCTCAGTAACTCAGTGAGGCCCTAAGCAACTCAACCTTGTCTCCAAATGAAACATAAAAAGGGCTGAGGATGTGGCTCAATGGTTAAGCACCCCTGGGTTCAATCCCTGGTACCAAAAAAAAAAAGAAATTAACTAATTAATTAATTTAATATTATCAAATACATTTTCTCTTGGATTATGTTATGGGTTTGGTTTTTGACTCTGATACCTTCTTTTGGGAGAGACAACCTGCTGTAGGCCCTGATTATCTTTGTACATCCTTGCTGGCCATGCCTTGAATGCAAAGCCATGACTAGAGTTTATCTGGGCAGCTTCTTAAGGTTGTGTTTTGCAATGTGCAACCTTGTAAGATAAGGTAAAATGCATCTTGCAGACTAAAAACGGGCTTACTTCTGTTCCCTCAAAGCTCGGTGGTCCTCATCTAACAGCCTGTGTATGCATGCACCCATCATGGGCATTCAGCTGCGCCATAGGACTTGTAAGGCAAGAGGAACTGATGTGAACATCAAGCTCTGTCTTTTGCTTTTGCTATGAATAATAAAGTCCTTAGCCTCTGACTTCGGAATTTCCTGCTCACTGCCAGTATCTATAAAACAGAAACAGGTTAACATGTCGGCTTGCAAGTAGAGTTAACTCTTAGACCATGTACGGTTCTGGACACACTAACTTCATGACCTTGGAGTAGTTAATTAATCTTTCTGAGCTTTTATTTTCTCATTGACAAATGGGATGATAATAATAATGTTCGGGTGCCAGATGGTGGCATCACCAGAAGGCGCTGGCCGGCGCTGTTCTCGCAGCGCCTGGTGGGTGGCGACATCCCTCTGTAGCCTGCACGCTCCGCCAGAGCGGCTGCAGGCGTTGGGCGGTCACCAAGGCGACAGGGCTGCTGTGCTGTAGGCGAACTTGTGCCAGAGAGCTCTTCCTGGACAGGGTCGAGAAGGTCTATGCTGGTAGTGGAGGACTGTAAAGTATGTTTATTGTCTTTGCACATCCTGAGGTTGCTGACTCTGGCAATTTGGTAAAAGAAAGAAAGAAAAAAATAAATCCCAGCATGAATAGCAGAAGAGGCTTTGGAGGAGTTACTTCACCGAAACCTGAAACTTGGGAAACTCCATTTTGAAAATGCCAGAGGGCCCATCCCAAATATTCTTGAAGACGCTGGAGTCAGGTTCAAGGACATTTGGCTCTCTTCTTTCTTCAAAACATGGTGGCAAGACATAATATTTGACTGGATTGGAGAATTGGAAGTTTTTCTCCTGGACAGCTGTCAAACCTGCAGTAGAACACATGCAGTGGAGGATCTCTAAAGGATCTTAAAGGAAAAGACTTTTAGGAGTGAGTCCCCAAAACTCTTCCCATGGGATCAAACCTTTCTTTCTTCCACTCTTCTGGGAAATGAAAATCCAAAGTTTAAATAAATAATGACAAACAATAAAAACAAAAACAACCAAATAATAATAATAATGTTCACCCTGTAGGATGGATGTCTTTGCCCATTTTATTTAGGCTGCTATAACAAAATACTACAAAGTGGGTGGCTTATAGACAATAACAATTTATTTCCCCAAATTCTGAAAGCTGGGAATCTGCGATGGAGACACAGTAGATTCTGACCTGTGGGGGCCCACTTCCTGGTTTACAGAGTGATGGCTTCTTCTCACCGTGTTCTCAAATGACCCAAGAGGGAAACAAGCTCTCCAGAGCCTCTTCTAAGGACACTAACCCTATTTATGAGGGCTCCACCCGCATGACCTGATTAATCCTAAACACCTTCCAAAGATCGCACCACCTAATACTATCATATTAGGGTATAGAGCTTCAACATATGAATTTGGGGAGCATTTGTCCATAACAAATGTTCCATGCATGGTCGGTGAGTGCAATAATGGACGGAAGGAATAATGATTGGTTGCAAGGAAGCTTGAATGAGCGTCTTAGTGATCTTAGTGGTATGCTGATTAAATGAATTAAAATTCCTGAAATACTTGTGCTCAAAAATATTAGTCATTGATTGACATTATATTAATGTTCTTTAATAGCATTGACAGAAGGCACTATACCAAAAGATACACTAGAGAAGTGTTAGGAGCCACAGCAAAAATATTGATACAGGCACCTTTGGATTTTATTGACTGCCAGCCAGCAATTCACATTCATATGGTAATTGGACTCATGCTGT